TTTATACCTTAACTTGGAATATAACTACAATATAAACCCAAATGCTTTATTTAAGTCTTGACTGCTAGATATTAGTAGGTTTTCTTAGTGTTTCATTTCTGTAATGTTTACTGCAGTCGCTGATTAAACCGACTTACTTATGATTTGATCGTTAGTTTAGTTATCCGTAGACTCTAGAATATAATCTGACTAAGCTTACATGATTCATAACTTTACTAATTTGAGAGCAATTAAAAATTTTCATTCTTTAGCGAAATATCAATGAAAGCAAAATCAAGCATCTTAATGGCGGCACAGTTCTACCGGCTAACAACAAGAGAACTACACAGTTTTGCTAGACTAGTTTTTTCAATGTGATAGTAAGTAACTAGTTATTAATTTTTTGATCCGTTAACGCTTTTTAATTCAAGAAGAAAGAATTTGCTTCCTTCTGCTTCGGCGCTTTCACAATTAATCTATGCCTTAATTTTAAACTTTCCCGGCTGTCAATTAAGATAACTAGATTTGGTTACTACAGAGTAAATTGAATTATTCCTTTTTGTGATTTATATAAAGTTAAATCGAATCAAAATATGCTTAAAATTTTCGTACTCACTGCAAACGTAGCTAATTTGACCTTTCATTTATTCATTACGTAATATTGTAGGCTTCTTTGTTCTGTATATGTATTTTTGTGTACCAAATCCTACAGTCAGCATCTTTATCTTCAATAAAAACTATATATTATCTGATTTCCCAGGCAACATACTAATATGTACCAATATTCTTTATCTATCGATAATCATGCCACAATTAAGGTAGTTCAACATAGTTATTTTTCCTCTAGGTGAGCTACTTTAGTTTAGTGCTATATTCAATATATATAAAGGCTATACGCTGTGTTATAATAACAAGTTCAGACAGAATATGCCACCGTATATAGCATATATTGTATATGTATATAGCATATATTGTATATGTATATAGCATATATTTGCACAAATATATGCTTATAAATACATTGCTATTCCAAGATAAGATACGAATATCTACTCCTATCTACGCTAAATTGTTATAAAACTGATTAGATGAGTTAAAGATTTCTATTAAAGAACTGCAAAATATTTTTAATACTATATAGCTAAGAATTCTATTATTACAAAAAGTAAATAGAAACGCAATTTCTTAATAAATGAATGATGTCAATCAAAAAGTAATCTAAAAGAATTGAATTTTTCTGGGTCTTCATAAAGTCATAATTCACAGAATACAATTATATATATAAATCAAATGAGAAAGTATAGGAAACATGAAAATTTTTTTATATGAAGTATAGTAAAATGAACATACAAGTTACGATTTTTTCGGTTAAGAATATTAATAATGTTTAATTTAGCTGCTATGGTTTCGATGAATTTAATATAAATAAGGACATCAAATTGCCTTGTTTTCTAGTCTATAAAATTATGTCCAGGTTACAATTAATATCTTTAGTAATTGTAGAAACAGTTTGAATCTATTATATTAATTTAAATAAATCATTTTTGATACCGATTTATGCTTATGATCATGAGTGATACCAATAAAGGTGAATTTAATGAGCTGTCTACAAATTTTTTATTTATTCCAGGGTTAATGAGTATTGATAAAAGCGATTGGAAAAAAAGGAGAAAATAGTTCTGTAATCAGTTACTTAAACGAAATTTTTAATCACTCTAACCTCCTAAATGTTGATATCTAATATCATCGGCAGTTTTTAATCTCCTATTTATTAGTTTGCAGCTACATTAATTTTTTTCCACTGCAAATACCTTTAGCACTCACAGGCAATATCAAGTATAAATTACGGTAATTAATCAATATTTTAGAATTCTTGATCATGCAACGGTTGCAATGAGTTACATCACTACTCACAGTAAAGTTTAATAAAAATAGTCAGTTTAGCAGTAATCAGAGCTGATTACCGTACATACTATTAATAAAAAAAAGCAAATTAAGTCGTTGGTAGCGATTTAGGGGTAAATATATCACCTTTGCATCTATATTTCTAGATATTTGGCTATATGGTTGACTTTAATGATTCTCTTATGATCGATATTCGATGCCTTAAAAGCCCGACGGGGATTATGACTCACTCTGACTATTTGCGCTCACAGTTCAATAAACACCTAACTCGAGTTACTGACTACAGGCACTATCAAAATCATAACAGATTTGTATGATGTACAGTACATGATGAGGGTGAAATGATCTAATTATCAAATGCTAGTATGTTCAGTTATGCACCACTTTGATTTAATACTTATTAATGAATCGGCCATCAGGTTAAACGTCAAGCCTATTATATTTGCTTGTTAAATATCTTGCTTCCAATCCTCTAAATTTTTATGAAAAAGTTGCGTTTTGATTTTTCCTCGTCTATCCAATTCCATTGATAATACAGTATGAAACAGTTTCTATTTGATAAGTTTAAAAGGATCAGAAACATAATTTGGTATATAATTCAAAGCAATTACTGCAGTTTAAGCGTACAGATAGTTAGCTAATTCAAAGGTAAAATCGTCTAGAATTGATTCTTTCATACCATTTGTCACAAAACAGCTTTGCAACAAGATAACGTAATGCACGATCAATAAGTCAATTCCTTGAACCACGTATTAAGGAACGATATCTGCTCTATCAAAAACACTTTTACTCTACTAGCAGACTACACTAAGACTTAGGCGCCTCGTATTTTACGTTAAACACCAAGTTTGAGAATCCACTTTATTACACAATATACTGCATTTATATACTATTCCTCTATAGTTCATGAGTCACAGTTAGTACGATTAACTTTGGAATCATTTACTGAACTAGATATTAATTATAGCTACTGCTCCTTAATGCAGACAGCAGTATTTACGAACATAGACATCTGGTGACTAATACAGAATAGTCAGATTACGATATGTCCTATCATGGAACATTTCCACGATAATTTACAATCTACCATAAGTAAATTACAATCACAATGATTCGAAGTGTAAGTAGATGATTTGCATTCCCTATTATAACTATTAATTTCAGTACGTGTATATGTGTCACTATCATAAAAATTCAGTGCTATATTAAAACACAGTATATCCAAATTAGAAGTTAGCTAAATAAGGATAGGCTAACAGAATTATCCTAACATAGCTATTTCTACTCTTATGCAACATATAACACTGTCACACCATTTATCGTATATACCAAAGCAGCAATGAATTTACCATTAGAATTTTTTATTAATTTTAAATTTCTTAACTCCAATAAAGATTGTCATTTGTCTCTTTAATCATGGTAATTAATTTCTACTTACCATCTATTGGTAATTTTCTAATTTGCTACATTGATTGGTTCTCATTGATCACCAAAATTTTGCCAGAAGCAGATCTATCTTATTTTGACTGTTAAATTTTGAGCACGGTCTCATTCAAATCATTGTGCCCATCCTGAATGTTTTCATAGCCTTTAATTAATAGTAATAAGGCTTTCTTTTCCGTGCATTTTCTCACATGCAATAAATCTAATCTCTTTAATAGATTCCTTTTCTGAAAATTTCAATGTGATGGTAATAATTGATTATATTCATTGTGTTTCTTGAAAGTTGCTATATAAATTTTCATTTACATTCGTTACCCTAATTTATTTTCAAGTTCTGCTTTTGTGGATTTGTACATCTTTGTCGTACATTAATTATTAATATTATCAGCTATAATACTCAGCTGCGTAATAGGACTCTTGTATATTATATTCTTAATTTAGGCTCTACTTAAAGTAACACGTTACAGTCGATAGTTTAAGATACAGATCTTACGGTGAGTAACCTCTTATGGGAACATTGCCATCTTTGTTCAACGCCTGCTACTATAACAGCACATATAACTCCGTCTGTTTTGGATAAGGAGCATATACTGTACTTGAATGAAACCGAATGAGAGTGTTGCTAACATTTCTAACAAATACTTTTTCTGTTTTTTTTTGTTGAACAGTCACAATAACTTTCTTATTTAAATTTAAAATAATTATTATAAAAATGCATAGGCGCATTGATTACATCTACTTCATAGCATTCTTGCTTTGTGTATTTTTCAATACAATACCTAAAGCAACCTATGCAACTATTAAATTAACGTGCCTATGTGACTTTAATTCAATAGAAATGCATGCATTATATGAAAACTCTATTCAGCAGTGTTACCGATACTGCTAAAGCTCAAAACAATATAATCTAAAATAATATTTACCATCAACCTTTGATACATCATATCGTACTGGAATAGCATACGATCCAAAAAGTTTATTATGGATAGCATTTTTAATAACTATTAGTAAAATTGCAGGTATTATAATCAATATTCATTCAATGCATTATAAAAAAATTCAACTGTCATGCACATATTAAATGTCGGCAGTCATAATAATGACAATGTCATATTTAAACTCATCAATTCAAATTATAGTTATTTTATTAAGGCATATTAACGCTAATTAAATAGCCAGACGATCGGGTTGGACAAGTGATAACAGCATATTCTTAAATCGAGAACTATGTTATTGTAATTATGGCTAATAGAATAATTAACTGGATAATAATACCTTCAAAGACAATGATAATAATTATATTTCGTATAATTTCTGTTTTATGTAGAAAAAATTAGAAATAATTTAACCTTGTCTAGTTTCTGTAGGTTTTCAATTCTTTATGCAATATTTTACTATTCTTTATAATAAAATTACTGGATTGTAAGTGCAAATGTTTCACCTTTACTCAGATACATTTATAAACAATTTCTAAATTCTTCATTGATCAAGTTGTAATAGGTTTAACAATTTTTCAAAGTTAAGTGTACCTGTTATCGAACCGAAACATCATCCTTCAAGTAAACACACTCTATCATAACTGTGCTGCGTTGATTTGAATATTGCAATCTACTTAAAAATGATAGTACTTTAGCCAATGATGGATAATATGAACAACAGTCATACTACTACACTTTATATCTTTTCAACTTCGTCTCCCGTGGAAGAAAGCTTTTTTCCACTTTACTTCTATGTGATTATCATCACTGTAGCTACAATCATTTTTTTGGGTGGACTGGTTGGCAATATCTTGGTGATCTACATTATAATGAAAAACAGCAATGGTAGGATGCAGTCAACATTCCACTATTTAGTAGCATCACTATCGTGTTACGATGTATTGGTGGTGTTAATTTCAATGCCTCAAACTTTGACCTACGATTTAACGCTAAAATGGCCATTTGGACGCACAGCTTGCTATATAAATTTTAATCTTCCTGTGTTATTCGCTTGTGGCTCAGTTTTCACCATGGTAGCTATAGCTTTAGATCGTTATAGGAGTATAAGAACAATTTTTACGTTCTTAACTTTCACAAAATTAAAGAAGCTCATAGTTATATTTATAATATTTTGCCTATCTTTTCTATGCATGTTACCATGTTGTTTATATACTCGTTATTTGGACGATACTAATTTTCCTCAATGTGGAGTGATATTTTCGCCAGATCCTTTCGTAGCTAACGTCAGTTATGTTTTATTTCTAACAATGATCGTATTAATTATTCCATTTATAACAATCCTATTCCTTTATGGTGGCCTTATTTATTCACTTAATAAAGTTAGACATCGAATATTTGATTCAACGTTAGCGCAAAATATTTATAACACCGCAGCGAAACAAAGCACCCAAATGTTAGTTTTAATCGTCACAACTTTTATCTTGACCTGGTTACCACTTTTTGCATGCTTCATCGTCGCTGCTTTTAGTAAAATTTCATCGGATCATATCAAAACGTTTCGTATGATCTATACAACTAGCCATTTAATAAGCTACAGCAACAGCATCATTAATCCGATCGTCTATGCAATTTATAGTAGAACTTTCTTAAAAAATTATAACCATCACTAATACAGTAATAGCATATTACAAATATAAGAATAGAAATTAAATAATCTTCAACTATAACGACTTTATTAAAATATTAAGTGTGTAAGAATTGTACGATCCCAAATACTGTGCATTTTTAAGTTTTCTCCTTCAGTAACCATTTTACTTTCCTGCCATTTTCTTACTAACTTTACTAATCCACTTGACTAAGACATTAATGATAGCCTGTCCGATATTAGATATTTAGTCGATCATCATTAATTAAAACTCTTTAGCTTTTGTTCGTCAATGTTTTCAGTAAAAATTTAATTTTGAATAATATATTATTCTTAGGAGAATCATGTATGTGCTGATATCTATTAGGCACATTAGCAAATAAATAATAGGCATAATTTGCAGCAAATAAATATCATGTTCCCGTTAAATCGTTGCTATGTCATCATTAATGGATATTAGCTATCGGTATTTTTCATTTAAATAAAATATGCAAATTTTTCCTCATCCTTAATAACGTACGATCATATAGATAATAATAGTTTACGCTTAAAGAAAGCCATTTAGCAGCACAATAAATTCAATTTTTCTTTTACCATTTACTAATTCTTAGCATAATAATATCTATTCCATGTGAAGGTTAACTTTGCAGTAGAGCTTTGACATGATTAACGACATGATAAAGTCTTGTACCGCAGAATTAAGTTATTTTGTGGGTGTTAGCGTGCTTACGATCAAAATAAAATCATATTTACTAAACCATAAATGTCAGTAACACCGAAGAATGTGCCTTTAATATCTAATGGTAACGTTCTAAATCAGTGATCTGAGCTTATATACTGTGACAATATAATTTTTCATAAATATTGTTCTACCGTAAATGCTGATGTTTCGATATAAATGCTTCACCCTTAAGTACAGTATAAGATTAAATTAGGGAACTGTTACAAATACCTTGGTGCTATACTGAAAGATAAAAAGCACATTAAGTAATAAATAGTAAAAGAGTATAGTAGGCTCATAAAGTGAAATCTAATGGCTTTACTTATCGTGAGTTTTATCTATCGTGTATTTTTTATGGCTAACTTGCAGATCAAATAATGATCGCTTATTCTCGAATTTGAATTATATGTGAAGTCCTTGGTTTGCTTTTATAGTCTTGGTAAACGAAAAAATTACTTAATTTAAATCACCTATTTACTTTAGACGTGTCCTAATATCAACCTTTAATAACAATATGACATAAGTTAATCCTAAGTTCTGTATGTAATTTTATAGCAACCATATTTGTGCGCTAGAAAACAAAACCTAATTTTCAGGATTAAAGTGTTCTCGAACCCGTGAGGAATCAAACTCGATTATTTTCTGATTAAACTTATCGTAATGTAATATTAGTCAATTTTCATATAATCAGTAAGGAAGGAATCTTCAAATTTCTCATTAAGTGTTGATTACGATTACACTTACAGGCATTTTAAATAATACGACAGTGAAAATACGTTACTATTCATAATAGTAGCTTCTGTTTTAATGTAGGTGAGCGAGCAATAATTGAAGATCAGGAGTTCTGTAACTCAGACTGCTGTGAACTGTGACTGTTGTTATTCGATGAAGCTTTGGTAGATTATAAATGCGATATTCAAGATCTGATTTTCAATTCAGCATCTCTAGAATACGACAATAAAAATATGAATATTTCTGAAACTATGCTACTACGAGTACATAACCCTTGGTGGTTGATTTAAGCAGCTTTAGTAAAACATTTACAAATTTCTATACGAGGAGACCTTAACTCATACATTCCTTCTGTAAATATGAAAGGAAGTTGTACTTGTTTATTCCATTAAGAGGCTACCAATTTGGCTTATCCAATAAAGAGCTTAGAAATTATCTACGGCATTCTAATAAAGTATCGGTAACTAATGGTGAAAATATTAAAAATTTTGATATCATATTGTAGACTCGTATACTGGATCTAATTGTTATCGTAAGAGTTTTAATTAAATACGAATTTTTTGTTCTATTCGGTTTGATAAAACTGAGGTTTTACGTTGAAAAATTACGTTCTATCGAATCTTACTGAAATCGAGACATACAAATTCCTACTCTAAATAGCGAGAAAGATAATTTTTAGGCTTATAGTGAAAAGTTCAGAACCATGTCTGCAATGTTGTTCTCCTAGCGAATGAACATTTTGTTCAGAATGGAGTGTGATACAACTTGAATATGGCTTAAGATTGATTGAAATTTAAATAATAAAATTTTTATTAAGTGTATAAATTACGTTTCATGATACTATAACTACGACATAAAACAACAATGCAGAAAATTACAATTTCTGCAAAGGTCTCATTATCAGTTTTTATATCTTGATAGCAAAAAACTTCTTAAAGAAATCTGGACAAAACTATTTACAATAATATAGCTCAAATTATTTTGATATTATAAAGCATTTATAAAATTAGTTATAGATACGATATCTCATGAACTTTTGCTGATTTTGCAACTGCGGGTATTATAGTACATTAGAAATTCTATTACAATAACGACTCCTAAATTCAATAAATCCGGCCTTAATAAGTAGGATATCTCATTTAGAATTTTGCTATTTTTCCCCCTATTCAATTAGTGATGGTATTAAAATTTTGAGATACTTATCCTTCTTTTTTAGCGACGACTCATCCATCGCTAACAACAGATAGAATAAAGATCACCTTTGCATGTTAGTCTAGATGTAAGCATCTGATTTCTAATACTGATTTTTAAATCACAAGTCTGGGAGAAGTAAGTTGCAATTTGTTTTATGTTTATTATTAATCTATAAATTATTAAATAGATCAATATATGAACTTATATTTACACAGCAATTATTATCTGATATTGTAGTTATATTTTACAATTGAAAGAGTAAGCTAATAAATCTTTTTTATGAAATTTAGTTTAATACATAACTAGAGATCGAGATTTATTAAAATTAAATAGATACGTTCGTTCAAATATATTTTCTTTCTTCCGAAGCATATGCAAAAACTATTTCCTTTCTAGTGTCTAAAGACTCAATGAGTAGGAAGAATAATTGTACCAGAACATGAAAAATGTAAAATTATTGTTAAATTATCGCTCCTTCGAGGATAATGATATGCTAAACGTCAGAGAATTCTCAAAGCGCATAAAATATTTTATGCTGTGAAAAGGAAATATGACTTGAAGACAATTGCCAACTGATTTCTGTCAGCATCTTTGTTGATCAAAGAAATTCGTGTTCATTAAACATCCGTTCCACACAGGTGTTCCAATCTCCTGCTATTTTATTTAGCATATATCAGTCGCAGAATAATTCTTTAACGCACAATAGATTTATATCTGATTCTTGTCAAAGCCGGTAAAGAGGGAACAGTCATTTAATCAAACTAAGTACAGTACAGCATTCAAAATTTGTAAAAAATATAAAGTTTTACAATTGTCGCGTTTGACAAATTGAATTTAAACATCAGAATAAACAGTCTGCAACTGCGGTAGAACCAGGCTATCTAGACAAAATCTTACTATATATGTTATGCAAATTTACAATTAGTTATTATCAAAGCCAGTTTATAAAATTAAACGGGTGCGCAATCGATTGAAATATAATTATGAAGGGTTATATAAGGTTAGCTATTGATTTCATTGGTTAAATTCATTTCTTAATTGTTCTTATTTTCGACATTAATTCAAGATGGCTTTGAGAAGTGCATATTTTTCTCTTTTTATACAAATAATGGCTGTTATATTCAAAGTACTAACGGTACAATAATCGAAACTATATAGCTATTGTGTCAGATTTATTCTTGCATAAGCGTCAAAGTCGTACACTAATTCAAGCTTCAAGTAACCGAATTCCTTTCGAATTTAGCAATCAAACGTCTAATTTTAAATTTGTCTTATACACAACGATATTATTTCTAAAAGATTTTAAGCACTATGCAAGTTTGTAAAATTTCAGTCAAATACTGAATCACAACTGTAATCGCAGGCACATATGATGAGTAAAACCAACACCCGGCAACAATTTTCACAATGAGTTTATTCGAATTTGATATTTATATATCCAATAATATAAAATTTAGAATTTAAGTAAATTGACTGATTAATAAAATTATGATTAAATAAATTGAGTAAGCTGTAGACCAAGTTCGAATATAGCACCACGAATATCAGGCGTCGAAAACATGATAAATTGTAGTCAATGCCGCTTAAATGACTTTGAATTTTACTCTTAAGAACCAAATAGTAAAAATTCAAAATAGATGCGGATAATTACTTACAAAGTTTAAATGAATTTAAGCAGCTATACAGTCCATTAACTGAAGATCTATAGAGTTTATCTCTACTTTAATGCATAAACTACAACATTTCTATATACTGTAGGTATAGCGTCGCTAATATACATTATGTTACAGAATGGCTACCACGGAATTGATATGCCTTAATATTTGTATTGGAGAAGCGCTCGTCCAAAGTTTTGGCAGTATCCAATATGTCATTTTTACTGCTTAATTCTGTAGAAAGTTATGTATGGCCTAAAATAAAACAGATCTTGGTACCATTCACTTTCGAATTAGTTATAATAGCCTTAAATAAAAGACTTTTCTCTATATCGATGTTGTCGTAGAAGTATTTTGGTTAATAATTTCTAAAATCTTTGGATGTATCACAGCGCTATCTTGAATTGATTGATACGTAGTTCTCGATACTTTATTAGCGGTTCTGTTCGAATTGTTGCCGTGGCTCTTTAGTCAGAGAGTCAGTCACCTTGCAATCAGCTTGCTTTTTTACTTTCCTATAACACTTGATGAGGTCAGAAATTATCTGCTGTGGTGGAATGAACATACGATTCATAGATCGTCTAATTAGAATAATACGTATCTTGAGATACTTTAAGTATATGTATAGCTCGAAAAAATGGAGATTTTCCGACGTGATCTTTTCTAAATTTTTTGCTGCGTGGAAGCTGCTCTCCTTTGAAGCGATAGCCGATTCATTTAACA